GTCATTCAGCTGGAAGAAAGCCTTAATTTCATGACAAACTACCAAGTTAAGCGTAACGCCATCGAGATCCTTACGGTCTTGCTCTCTGCGAATGCTCGTACATTCAAAGGGAGCTGGGTTCGGCGCAGCGCCAGCCAATTCCCCACCAATTGTTGAAGCGGACCAGCCATAACAACTGATGGAAAATGGCCTGGTGCAGCGCCAAACCGAGCCCACCTCTGAAACGCCCCAGCAGCGAAGAAGATGTTACCTTTGGATCGTGTTCAAGCATTTGTGCGCAAGCCTCCACACGCATATCCTTGAACTCTTGTCCTGTCCACCACAAATCGTAAGCGTCACCAGCTGAGAACATCAAAGATTGGAATACCTAAACAAAATTTCTTTCAGCAGCGGAAGGACCACTAGATATCCGTCAGCAGCAAGTGCGACTAGGCAGACATCTATAAGTACTGATTACCCTACGGTTTCGCTATTTGCACCATAATTTCTGCGCTACATCCGTGTGAAAACAACCTTTGTTGCCTATGGTCTGACTTGAAATGACTATTCCTGACAGGATATGAAGAAATCTTCTCCCGAACAGCAAAGCCTTATCTCTAGGGTCCTGTAGGGATGGAGCGTCTAGTGGCTAAGACGTGGATATCCTGGACATGCCTGGTCACCTAGGATGCGCAATGAGAGAAAGAAGTCTCCGCGATCATCTTCCAAGATAAGCCTCGTCTTTGATCTAAGGCCATTCTAAAACCAAAGGTCGTGCGTATGGGCACAAACGGACACCTGTTGGGTTCTCCTGCCTGACTTTTGCGAGTTCCTCCCTCTGAGACGATGAAGGAACGAAGCAAGGCGTATGATGGATGCAATGATGCGACAATGGTTTTCTGCCTCCGCCCATACGATCAGCGCGGAGAGGCCTTCAGAGACTCCCAAATTTTCACGATGACCAGAGCTGCTCATAAAATCACAGAATCGCCTTGTTAGCATCGTCAGTAGGAGACATCCGTTGAGTATTTGCAAAAACGTACCCTAGAAAGGGGTGATTGGACACTAAAGTTACAATAGGACTGCGTACGTGTTTCCGAAACAATCGTGAGCGGTGAACGAAAAGGATTTTGGCACTAACTATCCAGTTAAGGAGCATTACAATTCGTCTTTAAGCTGTCTAATCTTAATGAAATGAATGTGCACTTTCATGGAAAAATCTAAACTCCTTAGAAATACCTTGAGACCTTCGGTTTTCAGCTTGTCTTTGAACTCAATAGGAATTCGATATTCGGTCACACCAGGTGGCAATCGATTATTTCCCGTATCCAGCATTGCCATTTCCATTTGTGTCCACATATGTACATCGTGGCCAAGAAATCTAATCAACACATAAGGTGGTCAAAAAACGAATTACAAAAATGAGAATCCAGATAAAGATTAAGAAGAATAGACCAAAAACATCCCTCACGTTAGATTTGAGAGGGATCCATGAAAGTGATCATAAAGTTGATATAGTCACGTCGGTGGAGACGGTGTTTCCAACACTGGCTATTTTCTTACTCAATCAATCAGTGACTTGATCACCATTTGTACAGCAGGGCAGCCAGAGGAGGCATGCTCATTCCGCTCCTGCTGACATCGCCCCATAGCCCGACTTATGACGACGTTATGAACTACATATATCGGACCAAGCCGACTAAGGCATCACCGTTTTGTATTGAGAAAAAGTATAGAGGAGCGAGCGCTCGGCGCTCGTCAAACTTCTTGTTATGCGCCACACATTCTCCTCCCATTCATGAACGCAATCGCTTCATGCGATTTGGCGTACTTGTGGGAGCAGCCCAACCAGTCCAGATTTGTTATACTTCTGTACGAGTCTAGCCAATGACCGATCTCTAGATTTGATTGCCCAAACGCGAGTATATCCGTTGTTTGACATCTGAGCCGTAATGTATCTAGGAGGTCAAATGCAAACACAGACGTTCATCACGCATTTCACCATACTTTTATTCCTTGCCTCCTATTACAGTGCACTTGCAAAAGCCATGCTACAGGCCAAGGCAGTGTACTTATTCTCCCAGGCGAATCTGGTACCAATTCACCGTCCCCAGAGGTGAAACGCTTGGTTGGCTTGGACGGGAACCGATCTCGGGATTATACTTATTCTAGTTCGCAGCGGATGAAAGGGCGTGTCAGGCAGTATGACCACGGCGCCAATACTGTTCTCAGCCAGTTGTCGAAGCGGTATGCGACAACAATGGTAGAAAACGAGTGATACGAACGATATGATACAGTCTTGTCACTTGCTCGCTTCAACAACTGGTGGAGAATGGGTTTGGCATTGCGCCAAAGCTCACACCGTCTGACAAGCCTTTCGTCCGCAGCGAACTAGACTATAGACGTAAAGTGATGGGTCTTGATAAGAACAGTCCATATGTATGTGAGTAACGAACTTCAAGGTTTCAGCCAATCGATAATTGAACAGAACGTGGCTGTTGGTGAAACCGGGGACGATTTGAAGAATTTTCAATGCATCAGCAGTACACACTAGTAGCAGTGTGAGAATCCGCATTGCGGGAATGTTCGGAGTTTTCTAGAAAATTCGAAGAAGTGAAACAGAAGCTCAATACAGAAATCACGTATGACATCAGAGACATACAAAAACATGCGAAATCGAAAAATCATCGAAATCGAATTGGTAAAGCACGAATAATCGAGCAAAGCTGAGACCGAATTTTTCCGGTAATTTTTTGGGGAATAGTTGGAGAAAGTTTTTGGAGAACTCTGAAAGCGTGGTAGGAAGTTGGGATAATTTAGGAAGATGGTAAGTTGAGATGGGGAAGCGAGGATCGTCCCATAACCTTATGGAAGTGGCACTCGTGAAATTTTTTCCCTACGGCATAGCGTGTCCTGCTGAGAAATCTTGGGCACAGAATAAACTGGTAGAATAAGGAATGGAATTTAGATTAGTGAAACCATATTTTTGAGCCAAAAGTTGCAAGGAACGAAGGCAGGACATTTTATGCGCAAAATATCTCCGTTTAGCCGACCCAAAGGTCACTTGATGGTGTTTGTGTAATATTGATCAACGTATTTGATAGGGAACAGAAAACAGGAGCAATTGAGCTTCGATCACTTACTTCTCCAGGCTAAACAGATCAGCAATAACGGTCTTTTGGTAAAATTTACCTCACTCTTGGGCAACTACAGGGACTTCTTGTGGATCCTGTAAACTTATATTCTGTGCGACTACGCCTACTCATCACAGTGAAAGGGTAACAAAATGTTATGAGTATTTTGAGGGAGAAATAGTTACACACTTCTTGTTCTACCTGTTCATTTTTCACCGAATGTCTTTCAGATCTTCTTTTCGTTTTCCCGCCTTCTTTTGTGGAGACCTGAATACTTTTATACATACGCTCCTTATCCCTGAGACGGAGTGGGCGTGGCATTTGAGCATGGCATAAATAGGTTACTCGTTGGCTATTTCAGATTGAGAAAAGTGTCATCTTGGTCAGTGTTGGACAGAGACATGACCACAACTGAGTCAAAATGAAAATATCTCACCAAAGGCACAGCCACCGCCACGTTAGGTTGAAGTATGCAGCCACGCCTACCCCATCTCAGGGATTCATGAGGTCAGGAGGCGCAGGTAGTGTAACGGCAAGTAGGCACGCATACCGCCCGCGCCGTTCGGGAAAGAACTCCGGGATGGGCTCCCGTCCAAGCCAGCTAAGCCTTCTTCGTTCCGTAGATGGCCACAGGCATCCGTGGATTGTGCATTGGTACCAAATTCGTGTGGGAGGATTAGAACACTGACTTGTACATCGGCTGATCTTCGCAAATAAGTACATATATTGGCCTTATCACGTTCTATAAGCCACTACTGAATACTGATTCTAAACAGAAGTAGGACACCTACCGTGTCCAAGGATTGGTCAACGGCAAAGAATATCCTTTGTTTTTCACATGAGGTCAGGCATGTTTTTGTTCGCAATTTTTTTAATAATTTTTTTTGGAAATTTTTTCATTCTGTTCCGAAGGTTTAAAGTTCCACGATTAAGAATAAACCTGATACTCACTTACATTTCGGAGGGAAAAAGGTTCGGTCGACCTGCTGGGGAGCCGAGCAGATCGGAGATTCGATCCCGAATAGGGCGTGGTAGGCGGGTCATTTGTCGCCACACCTCGCCCCACCACTTATTTATTTGTTTACGTTTATCTG